CTCAATCATCAAATCAACCATAATTCCAAAGAATAAGGAATGCAATTTCAACAGACAAAACTAAAAGTTACTGTAGGGTAAAAGGATGATCTAAAAAGGTAAATAAAAGAGCAACTACCAAATAAGGGGAAGGAAGGAATCTCAATGATTACTGATGGAGAGATGCACCTGCAGCTTAAACCTGTTATAATGAGTTAATGGGGACAGACATGAACAAAAAGAATAAAAGAAAACAGTAGATATCTGCAATCCCCGTAACAGGGAATCAACAAAAAAAATGTATCTATATAAAACAAAGATACTATATATTCACTTGTCAAGTTGAGACTATTTTCACAATCTGCACACCAATGGGATGAGGCAATCAATACAATAGTAAAGGGAGTCAACAAACTCAAGTAATCAAAAAGACAGAGGCTGATATGGTTCAGGTGCTATAATTGAATTTTTAAAATTGCCTGTCACATATAATGCTAGGAATTCCTACATCATTTAAAAGAAAGCTGATGTTACCGATCTTACCTGACTCACCTGCAAAATATTACTCATAGCGATGGTAGTGGGATACCTTTGCCTTTAGATTTACGGCATAGAAATCTAGAGAAACTGGTAACTGCTTCAAGAAAACCACAAATGCTGCTTTTTGATAGTTAGAGAGACACTTATGCTTTTAAACCTCCGTGCCACATCAACCCCACATCCTTTTTCCTTCTTACAGATGGCAATCCAACAAAGAGGTGAAAGTCGCACCATGTTCAGTCTTATTAGTGGTCTTGAATCGGTCTAACTACTGCTCATTACATTTTTAACTTCATCTAACTTCATAAAGACTGATTGCAGGGCTCTTGTGGTGCAGTGAGGACAAGAATAAGGACAAAATCTTATCTCTTTCCTTAATCAAGTTATCCCTGCTTAAAATGATGAATGCATTTGGTCTCAATTCCTTGTGCAGGATCATTTTAGATTGAATACAATACGGAACTTCAACTAAATGTTTGTGTGGAGTTTGCACATTCTTCCCATGTCTGCATGGTTTTCCTCCGGGTGCTCCAGTTTCCTCCCACAGTCCAAAGATGTGCAGGTTAGGTGGATTGGCCATGCTCAATTGCCCACAGGTGTTTGGGATGTTTAGGTTAGGTGGGTTAGACATGGGAAATGGAGGGGTAGGGGCAGGGTCTGGGTGGGATGCTCTTCAAAAGGGGCAGTGTGGACTAGGTGGGCTGAATGGCCTGTTCCCAAACTATAGAGCTTCTATGATTTTAAGTTTAAATTTGACCTGAAAAAAAGAGTGTGTCTTTGAAGGAATTACAGTTAAAAGCTTCCACACTATCTTGTGGGGAATAAGACGACTGATCTGACAGTCTGCAAAAAAAGATTATTGCTTCTTCCCTGGCTGGATCCATTTTCATACTACCCAACATGGCCTGACAGGCTGGCACAAAAATATGATGAGGTGGAAGGATCACCCGCAATCCAGTGTTTCATTGTTCTGAATTCTACGTTGACGTCCAAAGATCTAGCTGTCACGTCAGGACAGTAAGAAGTTGCACTCCCACATCTGAATCAAAAAATGGGTGCGGTAGCAGCTTGTCACAAATATGGCACTGCCTAGATATAATCACCATATGATTTCTAAAGACATCCCTATCATCTCAGCAGCCACTTTCTCCCTTGCCCCCACTTGAAGCACTGCCGGGAGCCAGGAGGGAGCAGGACAGGAAGCCACACCACACTGGTTGTCGCTTTGAAAAACTAAGTACTATGAAACATAGGCAGGGTAGTCTGTGCATGCACACCTCATTTCTTTTTTCAAAATCTTTCTCCTCTCACCTTAAAAATATGCCCCTGAGCCTCGAAGTCCTCTACACTAAGGAAAAGTCACCTGCCACGTGCCTTATTTATACCCCTCAACATGGTCACCTCTCGACCGCCTATGCTCTGGTGCAAAATGTCCCAGCCTATCAAGTGATAATGAAAACCCTGCAGTCTCAGCAACATCCTATTAATTCTCTTCTGAGGCCTCTCCAGTTTAATAATATCCTATAACAGGGAGAACAGAATGGACAAACTACTCCAGATGAGGCCTCACCAAAATCCTGTACAACCTCAATGTGACTTCCCAACTCCTATACTCAAAAGGTAGGAGCAATGAAGGCAAGCATGCTAAACATCTTCTTAACCATCCTATCTATATGTGATGCAAACTTCAAAGAATCATGCCCTGCACCCCTAGGTCACTCTGTTCTACAACAGTGTCAGATATTCTGTTCATGCCGAGAGTTGGCTCTGAGGCAGCTGGATCAGTGTCAAAGACTTCCCATGTGTAAATAAAGGGTGAATTGGTGATGGGATACCGGTCTCTGTGGTGTTATTTCTGTAGCAATGAAAGAAAAGCATGTTCCTGAAGAAATGTGCTCGAAACAGTTGTCTTTGAGTTGTGGTAAGCATTTCTGGCATCATGCTGTTATTTGGGAAGCTTGACTCGTTCGATCTTGCCATCAAAGACTGGGTCCACTATGTGGAAAGATTACATTATTTTTTTCTGGGCAAATGACATTGGGGCAGATGAAAGGAAATGACTAATTTGCCTGATAGCTTTTGCTGCTATTGGAACTCTAACTTTCCCTGATGCACCAGATACTAAAACCTTTCAAGAGTTGATGATTTAGTTAAGAAATATTACGATCCCAAGCCTCCTCTAATTCAGAGGCGCCATCAGTTTTAGTTGGCAGTTCAAGTAAGGGAATCCGTATCAGGATTTTTGACCAGGTTAAGATGACTGGAAGAGGTAATTGACTTTGGTTTAACTCTTAATGAGATGCTAGAGACCGTTTGGTATGTGGGATTAATGATGTAACCATGCAAAAGCACCTCTATCTGAAGTCCAACTGGATTTCAAACTGGCACTAAAACTGGCTTTATCATTGGAAAATGCAGCGAGTGGAGCATCTACCTTCTCATTGCAACGGAACGGCAGCCAACAAAGACCCCTCCCACCTTGGTCACAATCTCTTTTAACCTCTTCAGTCAGGCAGGAGATACAAAAGCTTAAATACACATACCAACAAGTTCAAGAATAACTTCTTCCCTGCTGTTATTAGACTTCTGAATGGACCTTTCAAATTTCAAACGTAATGTTGATTTTGCTTTCTGTGCACCTTCTTTGCAGATGTAACTTTGTATTCTACACTCTGCTCAATCACCCTATGATCTCTGCCTGTTTTGCATGCAGAACTTTTCACTGTACCTAGGTACATGTCACGATAATAAATCAAATCGAATAGGAGTTGCAGGGAATCGAAGATCCTTGCCAGACCGACCGAGCTTGGGAAACACCACTTGAGTGAAGGCAATTGCATAGCCTAACTCAGGACACATCCTGAGCAGAGGGACTCTAAGTCAACCCACAGCAAAACCCCAAAACAAAGCCAAGCCTTGGCCAAACGTTTAAAATTTTCTTCAGGATCTTGGACGGCAAGCCATCGTAGTTGCTGCCGGAATGTGGTCTAGAGACAGCTAAAGAGTCCCACTAGACCTAAACTGAGTAAGAGAATGCATAGGCCAATATCCAGGAGAGTACACATCTTGGAATATTCACCATTATGGGTAAAAGGCATGGTTGACACGAGGTCAGATCCAGTGACGTATAAAGTTCAGGTAGGTGCCACGGTCTTGAATAAGCAAGTGAACCAGATGAAAACTGCAAACACACAAATGATGCGAGAGCAAAACATACTCTGATCCTAGACAGCCTTTCCAACTGTTCCGGAACTGTGGGTTTTCCCTCTCCATCAAGTGTTGAAGATACCTTGGAATCTGAGATGGACACAGGGGATGTCGCTACCTTGACACCTTTGCCATCTGAAGAGATGGAACTTCTTCCGAGATACTCCACGAGCAAGAGGCACCTACTGTGCGTTACACACCATCCATATCAGAGGCAGAGTTGTTGGAACCTGACCTGGTGCTGAAACAGCCCAGGAGGAGCTACAAAAGAGGAAAAAACCGGCCAGAGTCCTCAGACTCAGAAGGGGAGTGATGTTGTGATTGTAATGAAGTCAGCAAGGTGGATCTCAGAATATGAGTTCTCTAATTTGGCACTGTTAATCTGGTTTAATCAGGGATCCTGGCCTGACAATATAAGAACAGGAGGAAGACCTGGCTCTGAGGGAGCTGGATCAGTGTCAAGGACTCTCTACATGTATATAAAGGGTGACTTGATGATGGGATACCGGTCTCTGTGGAGTTATTTAAATTTGAAAATGGAAAAGCAATATTTCATTGCAGTCAGGTGCCATCTACTAGGATTGGAGAATAAATTGTGGTGAGTGAAGAGTTCTAGCACTTCATTAGACGTGAATGATAAAGCAAGAAAACCTAAGAAAACATTCCTTGCCTCAATGAACACACAAAATTTCCAAAACATTTTAAAATAGATACATCAAATCTGTGATAACATTGGATGACCGATCAGTACTGGGATCAGAACAGTCAGGGATTAATATTTCAGGTTTGATCCCAAACTGTGCTAAATTACTCATTCTTAGTTGGCCCTCACCGCTGCTGAATTAATGAGTTTAAGTCTGCCAAGATCTTTGCTCCTGTAGGCAGGCATATGTCAGGCAGAGACAAGTTTGGACTCAATTGAACTGTAACAATGGTCAAACTGCCAGCTGACAACGAAAAGACAGACTCCTCTTATGAAAAACAGCCACTGGTTGAAATATTAGGATACCTGTAAATCTATATTTCAACATGCATTTAACACTTGTGTGGGAGGGAAGAAAAACGAAAAGATGAAAAACAAAAGCATTAACATAACTGAACAGTAATTCTAATATTCCAATATTCCAATTAAGTCCACTGCCTACCTGGGTAATATTTCCAAAAAGCTTCCATTTCCTCGTAAACAAAGCATAGTGTGCAATTCCATATCTGCCTGCTACTGCAACACACTGACCCAGCTGGTCTATTGCCGCAAACTGAAGAAATAATAAATTATGAATGAAATCTCACCAGTTCATTTGATGTTTTTTGATTTCACAATTTACTTACTGGGATAAAAAAAACTCACCTTTATTGGCCAGTTACTTTCTAGATAGGTACTATGGATCTACAGGCAGAAACAAATAAGTTACTTAATCTTTGATGTTTAAAAGTAGAATTGACAATTAACTGCATTTAGTACTACAGGAAACATTTTATTAACTGACACCTATGGGACCAGGAGTGGGCTGGTCAAATATTCCGGATAGTCAAGAGGTACACATAGCTGTAGTAAACCCTGACCAAGCAAAGCTTCGAGTCATCACATCCCTCAAAAAAATCTATGTAAAAAACATCAAAACACCTCCTAAAATCAATCTAAAAATACACAGTAATAGAAATGTTATGCAGGGGTACACACATACTTATGCTTTAAATAAAGTATAAGTACTCGGACATCATGGTAGATTGCAGTATTTGAAGTATGTAACTTTTGTCTGTTTATCAAGACTGCCGGGTAAAACAAAATTTGTTTTTTTTTCCTCACAGCTCCCAAGTTGGCATCTAAATTCGCTGACAACAGAAAAACGGGTGGTAGGTTATGTTGTGATGAGGACATTGGGAATCTGCAACGGGCCATGAATAGGTTGAGTGAGTAGGCATAAACTTGTCAGATAGAATTTAATGTAGGAAAGTAAGTATTCATGCACTTTGCTAGGAAGAATCAAAAGGCAGATTATTTAAACAGAGAAAGATTCCAAAAATAAATTCAACACAAAGATCTGGATACTCCTGTGCACGGACCCCAAAAGGTTAGCATGCAAATGCATTAAGTAATTAAGAAAATAAATAGAACATTTCCTTCACTGCTTGGGGGGTAGACTTTTAAAAGTAGTGAAGTCTTGTTACAACTGCACAGGGTTCAGGTGAGGCTGCACCTGGAATACTGTGCCCAGATTTAGTCCCCATATACAAGAATGAACGCTCTTGCATTCAAGGGAGTTCAAAAGGAAGTTACTTGCGATGAAAGGGTTGGCTTACCAAAGAGGTTAGACCCTTATCCATTACAGCTTAGAAGAATAGGGGTGATCTTATTGAAGCATACAAGATTCTGAGGGGCTTGACAAGGTAGATGTTGAGAAAATGATTCCATGTGGAGAAATCTTGAACTAGGGGACATGGCTACTGAATAAGGGGGCACTCTTAAAACTGTTCTGCAAAAAAAAAATGTGTTTTTCCAGAGGGTAGTGAATGTTTGGAATTCTCTATACCAGAGGGTTGTGGAGGCTTGACCAAGAGATTGTAGAAAGATTTTTGAAATATGGTGAGATGAGAGCTATGATGAGCTGGAACAAAAGAACAATTCAAGCCTGGGGCACGTCAGCCATGATCTTTTTGAATGGCGAGGCAGGTTTGAGGAGTTGAATGGCCTACTCCTATTTATCATCTCCCCGACAATCAGGAGGAGTCAATGCGTTGCTGGGACACCACTATGCCTGGAATAGAGATACAAAGAAAATGAGCTCCTATTCTAAGGATAAATAAGATATGAAGACCATTGTGTGGCACATCTGCCTGAACTTAGTAAAAACACTATTATGAAAGGTACTCATAACAGAGAACAGGCTAAATTGAGAGAGAGTTGCTGTCAAATGTTTTGTATTACAACAGATGTTCAAATTTGTGTGCTGCATAAATTGTAAAGCTTTTCCTAGATTAAAGCCAGCAAAATGCAAAAATTGTGCTAATGAGAATGAATCTAGTGTACTTCTGGTCAAAACTGTCTGATGGGTTCAACTTCAATTGGTACTTTACAACAGAAGCACAATTACAACAATCACATCACATTTTACAGACTCACAATTCAGAGCTAGTATTGACTAAACTATCAACTAGCTGTTGAGTATTTTTAAATGGCAAAACCTTTTAGTGCGTTCAATCATTTATCTGCACTGGTTCCTAGTTTTTTTTTTAAAAATGTAGTACTTAGGTGTAGTAACACTAAAACATACAACTGACAGATTCTCTTGAATAATAAATCTTGTAGTGCTATTAACAAGTAAAAGAAATACAAGTAGCTGTGTAAAAGTACAAACCATCACCTGTACAACATGCCAGTGCCTGTGTCCTAATAAAGTGCTTAAACCCTGAGGAACTAGAATATCATTATACAGAGGATTCTTTTCCCTGACTGGCTGATGGCCTGAATTTGCTGCTGCGGTACTTGAATTTTGATTTTGCAACGCGTCACCACAGTTCAAATACAGTCGATCTTCTCCTTGGAGAAGTACTTGTTCCTGGTTATTCTGGTGGAAAGAAGATTGTAACAATTGTTTAATGTCTTAACTCTCCATTCGGCAAAGTTTTTCCAAATGTATTAAAATACTTTTCCTAACCTACATGAGCACTTCAGATCCTTCAGCAAAAGTGAAATTTCAGTCTTCAGGACAGATTTTTTTAAAAAAGTGAAGTCAAATTAACATTTTCAAATATAGAAATATTTTAGGAAGAGAACTACAACAGATAAAAACTGAAATGTATATTTCCTCAAGATCCTAACAGTTAGCATTAAACAAATTATAACCTGAAGGGTAACAAATCTTTAACTTTATATATGCAAATACAGAGAGGGGAAGGAGGTTTATGGCTCTTACAAGTAGGTATACGTATTGATAGCAACAGAAATAATTCTAATTAGGTGAACAGCAGTAAAAGAATCAGTGTAAAGCTTCGTGAAATTGACATGCAGGCAAGAATCCAGCTCTTGGCATGACATCATCTTTGCAAGTTTATTAACATGGCAAAATAATGAAAGCAACACTCACGACTAAACATTTTATTACAAAAATTTGGAAAATTATGTAAATGCAAGTACAATGGGTGCTTTTAAACAGAAAAGAAAGGTTTCAATCTCATCAGGTGATTTTTCTTGGAATGGAAACCAGAGATCATCAAAACTCTCCAGGCGAGAGGGAGGAGGGAGTGGTAAACTCTAAATCTCATTAAATGTTGATGTTTTCTGACTTGGGTAAAGCATCAATATGCCTCCCATGGCCCACATGTCAAAAGACTCCATTCACTTCACTTGCATCTCTTACTAAAAAGAAAATGTGACTCATTGCCTAAAAAGGAGGGTTTTTTTAAAACCCTGCTTCTGAACCTTTTCTCTTTATGAATGGTTTTGTTCTCCACTATTTTGTTTTTATTTCAGATTTTCAATATTTCATTTTTACTTGTACATTAATTACTGTCCTTAAAGAATTAATACATTTTCTATATGATGGCATTTTTCTACTTGCCCAGAAATACAACAAATATGTAAAAACTCATTACATAATATGAATAAATTGGAACAATGAGGTAGTGAAAGGAACAATTATGGCAGAAAATCAGCTACAATTACAAGTGCAGGCTGAACATTTTATGCAGAACCACCATTCAAACATTAGGCTTACAAAATAGAAAGTGTAGACTCAAAGCACCACTCGTGCATACAGAAAAGGAAGCAAGCATTTTATTTTACAAAATGCTTTCAACATTATAGAGTCAAAGTCACACAGCACAGAAACAGACCCTTTGGTCTAGCCATGCTAAACATAATTCCAAACTAAACTAGTCCCACCTGCCGGCTCCTGGCCCACAGCCCTCCAAACCTTTCCTACTCATGCACTTATCCAAATGTCTTTTGGACTTTGTAATTGTACCCACATCCACCACTTCTTCAGGAAATTCTTTCCACATGCGAACCACCCTCTATGTAAAAAGTTTGCCTCATGTCTTTTTTAAATCTCTCTCCTCTCACCTTAAAAGAGTGGCCCCTAATCTTGAGATCCCCTATCCGACAGAAAAGGGAACTACCATTAACTCTACCTATACATCTCATTATTTGATAAATTTCTATCAGGTCGCCTCTCAACCTCCTATGCTCCAGTGGGAAAAAAGTCCCAGCTTATCTCACCTTTCTTTATAACTCAAACCTTCCATACTTGGCAACATCCTGGTAAATCTTTTCTCAATCCTCTCCAGATTGATAATATCCTTCCTATAACTGGGTGACCAGAACTGGACACAGTATTCCAGATGAGGCCTCACCAATATCCTGTAAAACCTCAACATGACTTTTCAACTCCTACACTCAAAAAGACTGAGCAATGAAGGCAAATGAGCCAAACGTCTTTTTAACCACCCTGTCTATATGTAATGCAATTTCAAAGAATTATGTACCTGCACCCCCAGCTCCCTCTTAAGTAAAGTGTGGATTGAACAAATAACTTTCAATTTCTCAACAGAAAAATGCAAAAATTGAATGTTGGAAATCAAAGACAAAAAATTTCACAATTCACACCAGGATAACGTAACAATTGAAAACATTTGTTTTAATATGGTGCTGATAATATGGTTTATGCAAAAGAAAACCAAATTTTTTTAAACAACTAGCCCCCAGTCTGCAAGCTAATCCATATTAGATGGCTTCAATAGCAATATTAAACATCCTGCAAATGAGCCTACAAAACAAATGTTTAAAACCATGAACAGTTCAGCACCTGTAATCCCAAATTACTTGCTAATGGAGATCAAACAGAAGGTTGAAGAATAAATGTGAAATTATTAGTCTGCAATTGGTAAATAAAAACATTGTTAGGATTTAAGGTTTAGGTTGCAACCTACCATGCAGGGATTAACTGTTAAAGCGCTTTTGATGAATTGGAATTGCAGAATTTCTGCTTGTTGTACTACGTTTGTGTTTTCCAGGTCACTTCCCACTTGAGTACTATCACCAGAAATCGCCCAAAGGTGATAGCCTTCAGCACCCCAACTCTGTAAATAAGGAGCAACTTCAACAAATTATAAAGGCGCTAAATAACTACAAAGTTATTTTAGACATCAAATATAAAAGGAACTGGATTTTTTTTTTGTTTTGTTCAAACCATTGGCTAGATATTCCCTCCAAAAGGATGATAACAAAATCAAAATTGCTGATACCAGCTACAAACTGTAACATAGATCAATATGCCTTTCAGTTTTGTCACTCTCCTTGTAGTGGCTGAGATTGGGTATGATGTAAGGAACCATCATTTAAAAATTCATTCACTACAAATGCATACCACTGGGACATTATCTTTGAATGCAACTTAGTTATTCTGTCACTCAAGTTGTGAAGAAGTAATACCATTGCCCTTGTTCGTTACTCCATTTGTAAAAAACACATTTCATAACAAAGGACAGATTTTAAAGAAGCGTGGTGCATGCATAGGGTATAGCCAAGGAAGAACTGATTAGTTTTTGGTGAAAATGCATTCTAAATCCTAGGATTTTAAGGATCTGTTAACAATGGGAGGTACAGCGAACTAACTTTTTTTTTAAAAAAATAACCGGTTGGTTGTTTTATTTTTAATATTGTTGACTTTCTTTGGAACGTTGTGGATTATCTTTGTTGCTGTGGCGGAACTTTTCACAGATGGCAAGCATGGGCAGAGTTGTCAGAACAAGTGGTTGGATGCAGATTGGTCTGAAGCCTCCTTAATGAGATGGAAGCTCTTCTTTTTCAGCTTTGTAGTTATAAAGCATCAACAAGGCACATATTAACTACATTATTGTAATACCGTTTGGGTCATCATAACTGGGTGGAACTAGGCAACCTGAGTACCCTCTCACTTATTCTTGTTTAATTGCAGCAAGTTGATTAACCTATTTCACATAAATGAAGATGTGAATTTTCTACACAACTGTACTTCTACTTAATATTCATCACATTAGAAACTGCAATACAATTGCGGTTTTCCACCACTACTGCTTGGAAGCTGACTCACCATAGAGCTGATTTTCATAGGTTCCTTTTTGGTGCCATCAGAATAATGCCTTAAAATAAACCCAACGGAATGAAATAATTAATTGTGATGAATAATCTTAATCATCAACAGCAAAGCATAGCAATTCTATTCCATTGTCCATATTTAAAGAATCTGTAATTGGATGAATGGACTTTGGATTCAGTATTACGAAAATATTGCCTCCCAAAATCAAATAATTAGGGTTCGTAACTCTTCAGATGGTGCTTTGGTGAAATTTGAAAAGCTACCTAGACAATACAAAGAACACCAAGTCACAGGGCAATTTTGCTTCAAGAAAAAGACAGTTATGTGCCTCTTACATAATTAGATAAAATTAATGTCTTAACGAATTAGCTGTAGGAAAGAAAAATAAATTTTTACCAACATCAGCCTGCAAATAAAACAAAAAAGACCTTTGCTAGAGAAGCTTTCAAGGAATACGCAACTGTGAACGATGACATTTTTTGAAATATCATTGAAATTTTCCAAACAAAAAATCTTTCTTCCAACCCATCCCTTTAAAAATCTTTAAGGATACCCTTGCTGCCTGGCTATTTCCACAATGATCACTGAACGAAAATATCAGAGTACACAATACACCACAGTAAACAATTAATGTGCATTTTTCAGTTTTAAAATATATTACAGGAGTAATCATTTGGTTTCAAAAATCAGGCTGGAAAATTCAGTTTGACCTTTACATAATCGGAAGTACATGTGATAATGTACATACTCAAAATTTTTATTTTAACTCCAGCCATAACTCAAATCAACTCATACAAGCCTGAAACATATAAAAGAAATTTAAAAAGTCTCCATTTACATAAAGATGCATGCAAAAGTCCTGCAGAATTAGAATTTCTGAATGGAACACTCACGCAAAATCTCCACCCAGTGTGCAAAATAGATGAGCACCAAAAACACTCCACAAGGATAAGCCTCCACAAGCCCATGTTACCATAGCAACACTACAATCAGGTGACCATCTGATTAGTTTCACCGCCCCAGTCTTGTTCCAAATATCTGTTTGTAAAGAAGAATCTGAATGAGTACTGACATCTTGCTCTAGTAAAACTCTTGTTTTGCAGAATTAAAAAACAGGCATATACTACACTTGCTGGTACTATATTTCTCTCTGGGTTGAAGCACCAACATGGCAAGCTGGAAATTTTCTAGCCACTTTTAATTCGGTTTCTTTGGGGCCCCTTTGTATCATAACAATGGGCCATTTTGTTACATAATTGATCACTCAATGCCATCTGCCATGAGACTCGCCCATACAGTTAGGGATTTAAAATATTTTGCAAGGCCAGTTGCTGAAAGTGCAACCTGGTAACAATGCAGTCTGGGAAACCGGGTATTTGGGACCTAAATAAACTGAGCAAACAACTGTGAATCCCGTAGGTTAGATCGAAGGGTTGGGAAGTTAAAGCACAATGACTGAGACAAAAGAGCAAAGTGGACTGGGGGAATTAAGGGTCAAATCAGGTACTGAAAGAAACAAAGTCAGAGAGCGAGTGGACAAGGGTGTCACGAGCAGGCAAGGCGGGGGACAAGAGAGGGGGAAAGAGACAGACAACCACATAAAATGGGAGACAGGGTGGAATAGAGGGGACAAGAGGGAGGGAGCGGATGGAGGGGAGTGACAGAGCAGGGGGACAGAGGGAGTGAGATGAGGGTGGTATGGAGGGAGCATAAGTGGTAGCACAGTTATCAATGTTGTGAATACTTTTCAAAATTGACTGGTTATAATTTGAAAGCTTTCAACGAGGATTGAATAACTACACAGAGTCATGAAATCGTAAACCTACCAGGGTAATGTTTAGGAGTTAATTCCAACTTGTGGGACAGCTGCATAACTCCTGTAGTTGTATCCATTGTGTAAACTAAAACTGAACCACTGGCAGAATGGAAAAATAATCAGTTAATAGCAGTTCTGGAAACATTTATATATAAATACTTGCATAAATTCTTCATTCATCAACATAAGGGTTGTTAAGATCATTAAAGACAGGACAAGGCATTGATCAGCAAACTTGAGAATGACCAGGATGAGAGATAATTATTAACAAGGATGGCAAGATAGATGTTCAACTCCCGCCTGTGGCAGTTTCCAATTATTTCTTAAATAATTCCACGGGTTTTCCCCTCCATTTCTTTCTCTGGAGGTTTTAACTTTCTGAAGAACTTCTGGATATCCATTCTAAATTTGCTTTTAATGAGTTTGAACCCAGGCCTCTTTGCCCAGTTCTCAGTTACTTCGAAGAAAGATGCCAGATTTACCTTTCCATACCACTACTTATCAAATATATGGATATATATAGTTTCTTCCTTCAAGACTAAACACCCAAGATCCCATCATTCTTCATAACTCAGACCATTGACAATGGGAATCAATCATATTATTCTTTCCTGCATTACTTCTAGAATGGCTTCCCAGGAACATGGAAACAGAAAATGGCCATTTGGCTGCCGAACCTTCTCCAGCATTCAAAAAGATCATGGCTGATCTGGTTGTGGTTTCAATTTCACTTTTTATTTGTCCCTATTAACCAGAGTTCTTTGTGGGATCAGGAATCTAACTTAGAGTTGGATACATTTAAAACTCAACCTCCACTATCTTTTGGGGAAGAGAATTTCATGTTCTAAAGAACCTCAACGAAAAGAAATTTTCATCTGGGTCTTAGAGACCTCTTGTTCTTTACAAAATGCAAGAGGATATATGCTCCTGGTAGCTCACCCTATCTAGTTCCTTCAACATCTTATATTTCAAATCCGATCACCTTTCATACTTCTAAACTCCAATGTAGTCCAATGTCCCCTGTTCAGCTTCACTTCATAAGATAAGCCTTTCATCCCCGGTATAACTCAAATGCACTTTCTTGGGACTGCTTTTTGAGTTATTATATTTTAAGTAAACTTTTCAAAGGAAGAAGAGTCTAAAATTGTACAGCGAGCACTCCCGCTGTAGTTTCATTGGTGCCCTGTACCGCTGCAGTAAAACTTTACTCTTATTTTCATTCACCCTTGCAATAAATGACAACATTCAATTCACCTTCCTAAACACTTGTTATATCTGCGTACTAACATTTTGAGATTCATGTACCAGGACATCCAGAGTCCACTGCACCAGAGTCCTGCAATCTTTCTACACTTTAGAAGACTGCTTCTCTATTCTTCTTGCCAAAACAGACATTCTGATTTATAATCCATCTGTTTAATTGTTGCCCACTCATTTTAACGTATCTATAATCTCTTAGAGGACAAGCACTCTCTGCTTGACAACTTGCTTTCCTCACTAAATTGGAGTCATTGGCAAATTAGATTGTAAATCGTTGAGGACCCCACATAAATCCTTCTGGCATTCCATAGTTCTGGTTATAGTTTAACTATAACTATAGTTTAAAAAACATTTGCCCCACTATTTCCAGTTAGCTAACTCATCATTTATTCATGCATAATGTGTTGTTATTCTGTGCAGATTGCTTTGATGTGATATCTTATCAAATATCTTTTGGAAATCCAAATGCATCACATCCACTATTTTCTTCAACCTACTATGAGCATTACTGAGTCAAAAAGTTCTGATGGGTCACTTAAACATGACTTCACTTTCACTAAGCCATATTGCGATTTTCTAAGTATTCAACTATAACTTCTATAGCAATGGATTCTAGCACTTTCCCTGTGATGGATGTCTGGCTACTTGTCCTGTAGCGTCCTTTCTTTCTAGAATAAATAAGTTGTTAACATTTGCTGTTTTCTAATCCATTGCACTCTTCCAGAATCTAAGCAATTTTGGAAGATTATAACCAATACATCCAATATCCGAGTCACCTTTTGAGATCCTAGAAGACCCATCAGTCCTAGGGCTTGCCAGACTTTAGGTCCAATAGTTTTCCTAGTACCTTTTCTCTAGTGATGACTTTTCATAGTTCATCCCTCCCTATCACCTCTTGATTTTCAATTAGCTTGGAGACGTTTTCTTCTGCTGTGACCACAGACACAAAATATCAAAATCTCTGCCATTTCTTGTTTTTCCATGAACAATTTCTTAGGCTCACTCTCTGGGAAGACCAAAATGAGCTTAGAGAATGGCTCCTTTATGCCTTGGTGATCAGAAATTAACAATATTCTGATGACTAAAAAAAACTATAGAGTTTTGTGACTGATTTTCACACCATTATTTTAACTATATAGTTCTAGATTTTGTTGGTTTATTTTATATTTATGTAACTCCCTACCCAACAGCATTATGGGTCTACCTACAGCACAGGAACTGCAGTGACTCAAGGTAGCAACAACAAGCAATGCCCTCTTCCCACAAGTGAATTAAAAAACATATTGGTTAAACATGTTGATTGCACCATCCAGTTGTTACAGATGTCACTGAGCATCTGGATAAGTATGCACTGACTAAAGAGTCAACATGAATGTTAAGTTAGGTCACATTTGACTAATTTAATAGAATTTTGAGAGTTTGTTTCATCATAATGTGCATATAAATGTTGTCCATGTGGATTTTCACAAGGCTTTAGAGACCACTTGCAAATAGACATCCTTAAAAATTTGAGGGGACATAGAATTGGATCTAACCTTGTAACACAGATTAGCCTATTGGTTGGGACATGATGGACATGAGACACCTTCCATTTAGTAGACAAAACTATTTCCTCTAATGGGGAAATCTGAAACAAGAGTATAGTCTTTAAAATCATAGACTAATGGAAATGAAAGCAGCGATACCTTTTTGTAGAAAGACTAATGTAACTCTGGAACTCCATCCTCAAAAGTGGTGGATGTGGGGGTAATCAAGACTGAGATTGATAAGATTTTTAGTTAAATATATCAAGAGGTGGTGAATTAAAGCAAGTAAATGCAGTTGAGGGACAGATCATGATCTGACTGAATGTCAGAACTAGCTCAGGGAATTAAATTAGCTTCCACTGTCAACATTTCTTCCAAATTAATTTCAAACTATTTAAACAGCTTTTGCATCAGCCATTTTCTTTATTGTGTTGTATTTATTATACACTAGCATAAAACTTAACATTTTTCTTCTATTATATATATGCCAACATATGCTTACAATTTCTGAAATCAACAATCAGTTCACTAACCCTTTTAGCTTGGCATCATCTGCACATTTAACAAACATAGATTTACAAACTGAATACAAGTCGACAGTGGAAATTATAGAGAGGGACTATGTATTTCATATGGGTCTTTATGAAATGCCTCTGGCTAGTTTGGGTATATCATATCACACCAAGTTAATTACTGTGACCAATTTTGTCAACTAGTACAATCTTTAACAGTTGATCTTTGAAATTCTTTCACAATTTTGAAAATATCTTAATTCTATAAAACCTTATTGACATTAAAGTTTAAACTTCGTGAAACAAGATGAAGTCCACTTACTTTGCACACCCAAAGGCCATTAATTTGTACTTGTTGTTTACAGCCACACAAGTTCCATCGGTTACTTCTTGTGCCCACACACCATGCAGGTTCTGAAAAAATAGATTATAATTTTACAAATACAATATATGTCACAGCGTCTCTGTTCACAACAGCTTTTTACAAAACCCTCTAGCATTCTCACTAGGGTTGGACAATTACAATCTCCAATCATAAAATACATAAACCAGCTTTGAAATCATCAGCCTGTTTCTGGAGGATACTTGCTCAATCTGACAATTTCCATTATATTTTAGATTTTTGGACAACATTCTCATTTGTCCAAAAGAAAAAGTGCAATTCATTAAGAGCAACAACAGTCACATAGATGTACACATGAAAATAAAATGTCAACTGAACAGTCAGCCTCATGATTACAGGATATAGGACAGGTTTGTTGTAAAAAGGACACAGGAGGGAGAGTTGGACCATTTGAATCAGTTTCAGTCATGGTAGGGGGCAAGAACAACAGGTTTTAATGTCATCTGTTAAAAGTACTAGTTGTTACTGCTACACTTTAGACTTCAAGGCCACAGAAGTGTTCCTGAATTGTGACACCATAAAATCAGGTAATAAACAGGAAGTCAAGAGAATTAAGTGTGTGTACTGCTAATCATCAGGGACCGGTCTTTCATATATCCAGATATCATTAATGATGTTATCCAGAACCCCACCCCACCTCCTGTTCTATGTCACACCAAAGCACTTTAAACTTTAAATCTTTGTTTTTAATTTTAGCTTCAGTTACCAGTGTGCTGTTCTATAAACACTTCCATGAAAACCATCTACAACTGTGATCATGTAAAGCCATTTTTCCATATGACTTTAACTAGATGTCACCTACGTAGAAGTATGTTATTAGATTCAATACAAAGCTCTATTGCCTAACAATAAGCTTTAATTTTCTCTCTCCGAAGAGAACCTTCCACTATCTATGTAACCACAGCATTACTTTTTCTACTGCCAACTGCAATCTATTGGCGTTGTTAACCAAAATATTAAGCTCAGTGGCAACTTGTTTACAGGCCAGCGATGTCACTGAAGCCAATGTGATCAACTTTGAGGTTGAGCAAAATAATTTCAAGCATAGGGATACGAAGATGATATATGAAGGCTTAAAAAAAACACACCATCATTTGCACATTTAAGAAAAAAAGACACATTTAATAAAGTGTTGAAGCTAATGGCATTCATGCCCAAAATTACACTTTAACTGAAAAAAAACTGTGGTTACCAGCCTCCACTTTTTTTCAGGGATTTGAACAGGAACGTGGTGCTGCACCTACATTTCTTACATAAGGAGTACTTCTTTCAGTAATGTCGTAAATGAGAGGTGTTAAAGCAGACACCATTGCTTAATACAGAGTGCGCGCGTTAACCCATTCGATAACTCCTCAGTCACCACCCAACTTTGGTCACATAGCAAAACTGGAAATTTAGCAGCAGAGTGTCCATTTTCTCATTTGGGGAACACTGACAAAGAGCAAGGCTGCATTATTTCATGATACATTTGATCATAACAAAAAGAAAAAAAAAACTTGGCTCTATGTTTCAAAATCTCAAATTTTGTTTCCAAAGCCTCAAATAATCAGCTGAAATATTAATTAACACACGCAAAAAGCTTTCAAATTTATTACACTGTGTGAATAACATGTTACAACTAAAATACAATTACCTCAGCTGTAAGTTTACTGGACACAGGAGTAATGAAACCGATCCGGCCATCATCAAAAACCACGGCAAAACCATCAAGGGTCACACCATATTCCATATCTTGGATATGTACAGATTCAAAATCTAATGAAGGACCTGTCAGCCAAAAAAACAAATACCATAGCACTCTGTACAATTCATACCAGAATTTTCAAGAATCGAACAGCTAACTGATTCTACTGTACACTATACATTTTGAATTAACTAAGAATTGTTCATGTGTAGGACCAATTGCAAGCTGATTAGTGCTGCATTATGCATATACAAATAAGCCTAAATTTAAAGAATATTAAATTTCCACATGAAGGTGTGCAATGTACAATCAATTGTCTGTGAATGCAACAGAAATTAGAAAATCTTTGTTTAAATGACAATATCTGGACTTATCATAAAACAATCTTGAACGTCTGTGCTTTAGGTCCTGGCAGTGTGCTGAAATCTTTTGGGCAGCACAGTGAAAATAGCATGAACAAGTTCTGTAAAAGGATTTGGCAAGTGGATGTGTTCTGGAGGCCATACTTGCTTAATGTTTGCATTTGGGCAAATTCAGGCACTTCAAAATATTTTCATTAATGTGTTGGAACAGCCAATACTAATAAAGTGAAAACTTGAACTACAGATATATCCTGTTGAAAGTGCAAGAGGTTTTTTGTTTTAGTGCAGTCTGTAATAACAAATATACGAGAATAGCACCGCCACCATTATTGATTTTATGCAGTTACTGCAAATGCACCAAGTGAGTTGCAAGTGCATATGTTCAGTCCATTATAGTTCATAAACACACCGCCAATTCACTCGCTGCCTTTCTTGACCACCTCGTTCCTTCGCTGTTTTCCCCTCATGAGCTGGTCACTCCTGCCACATGCCTCCCCCGTGCCGCAAGATGGGGAACAGTGGAAAGAGTAGTATGGCAACAAAACAATATTTTGGGCTAGTTAGTTTCCAGGTATTTAATAGGTTATCACAATAAATGTGGGTTAGGAATTTAACCCACTTTTATGACTTTTTTAAAAAATAGGAAATGACTTTCATTTAGCATGCTTTTGCTTAGTAAGGTTCTCTTTTAAGGGATGCTAAATGAGGAAAGGTTCCATCAGTTTTCCTTTGAGATGACTATTTTAAAAGCAATAAATAAGGGCAAGTAGACTAACTTGCTCATCCTAGATTCAGTATTTTATTTAAAGTAGGCAGCACTGTTCAGTTAGGAGAATAGCAGAGCATAGTGGAATATCACAAGTTAAGGTTTAAAATTTCTGGTAAACCCATACAGTAGAAATGAAGTGAGATTGGAGAAGTTGAATTGTCTAGAGATGTAACAAATTTTGGAACTTTAAGGAGGATGCTTTTCTCTGGCATTACATCCCTCACCTATGTGGATTTTGTATTGTCTGCATTCTTTTGCATTGAATATCTAGTTGGATGATAGCATGCCTGAGATATTGTAACTGAGAACTGCTAGGAAAAAAAGAGTTATTGTTCCTGGTCTAATAACACAAGGGCCTGGATTAAAGATTCAGAAAATTTCAAATCCCACTATGGCATTTTGGGAATGTAAATTTAGTTCATTAAATAAACCTGGAATGAGATGCTATACTGTGATCATGAAATTACCAGAATGGTTACAAAAAATCCAACCAATTTACTGAAGTCCTTTAGGGACACAAATCAGCTGTTCTCACTTAGTCTGACTTGTGTGACTCTACACCTTACAGCAATCTGGTTCATTTTCAACTTAGTCGTCAAGAAGGTAGATCACAACCAGCTTCTCAAATCAGGAATTGGCAATATGCTTCAACTAATGACCTTACGTTCAGTGAAGCAACCCATTTCATGACAGGACTTGGGGTTGTGAGGGTACATAATAAACAAGGAAGCACAGTCAACACATTTTCAACTATTCACAAACCTCATTATTACCTACCTAGATTTTTTAAAACATATTTGTGGGGCATGGGTCAGCATTCGTTGCCCATCCCTAGTTGTCCTTGAGGTGATCGTGAGTTGCCTTCTTAACCACTGCAATCCACATGCTGACCCATAAAAATGTTAGGAGGGGAATTATAGGATTTTGACCCACTGAAAGTGAAGAAACAACAATATGTTTCCAAGTCAGGATGGGAGTGGCTTGGAGGGAACTCTCAAGAGTTGTATTCCCATATATCTGTTGCTTCTAGATAGAAGTGGTCATGGGTTCGGAAGGAGTCGTCTAAGGATCTTTGGTGAATTTCTGCAGTGCATCTTGTAGATAGTACACATTGCTGCTACTGAGCATCAGTGGAGGGGGGAGTGGATGTTTATGGTGTGCTGCCGATCAAGCAGGCTGCTTCGTCTCTTCACCAGTGGCTCACTATCAACAATCTCTTTGTTTGCCTACCCTCTTTCTTCTCTCCATTTGGGCTCCATCTCTATCTATCCACTCATTCATTTTGCCCCTCCATCCACATCATCAATATTAATACCACTCTTTCCAAGCTGGTTCTAGTTCTGAAGAAAGGTCATTGGATTCAAAACATTAACTTTGCTTTCTCTCCACAAATGCTGCCAGATCTACAAAGTTTCAAAAGTAAGCTTTGATTTTGTTTGTTTCAGATCTCCAGCATCCCTTTAAAAATTTGGGTCAATTTTGCTAATACATAAAACGTGCTTTTATTTAGAAGATTAGTAAGGTATATCTTGTTATTTTCCATAAACAAAGCTTAAGAAAAATCAGTATTCTTACTGAAAATAGTCCACCATTCATTTTAAAATTTAAAATAAATAAGTTAATAGTTTGAAACAATGCAGTAAAGTAGCATCCCTAGTTTTTTGTTTTGTTTTAGTTTCGTAAATAAAAACTCATACCGGCTATAGAAACAGTGCAATTAGAAATGCTATTTAAAAAAAAGGAAATAAATAAATACCACTTTACTGCATTGTTTCAAACTATTAACTTATTTATTTTAAATTTTAAAAATGAATGGTGGACTATTTTCAGTAAGAATACTGATTTTTCTTAAGCTTTGTTTATGGAAAATAACAAGATATACCTTACTAATCTTCTAAATAAAAGCACGTTTTATGTATTAGCAAAATTGACCCAAATTTTTAAAGCAGGCTGGGTAAAGATTAGCAAAATGGAAAAGGAAGGGGTAGAGATTAAAGGGTACAGTGCAATGAAAAAAGGTCCAAGTTACCAACACTCTTCACCTAAATGTACAAAGTATTCGTAAGAGGAGAACTAGCAGCACAAATAGGGAAATGAGTTTGATATAATTAGCTTGACCGAAACACGGTTAAGGTGAGCAAGGTTTTAAATACATAGTGCTGAGGCAGAGGATGGTGGAGGAGGGTTGCTTTTCAGACTGGAGGTCTGTGAACAGTGGTGTGCAACAAGCAGCAGTGCTGGGTCCACTGCTTTCTGTCATCTATATTAATGATTTGGACGGGAGCATAGAAGGCATGGTTAGTAAGCCTGCAGATGACACCAAAATTGGTGGTGTAGTGGACAGCCAAGAAGGTTATGTAAGAGTACAACGGGCAGAGGGCAGAGGAATGGCAGATGAAGATTAAGTTAGATAAATGTGAGGCGCTGCATTTCAGAAAGGAAAATCAGAGCAGCACTTACACATTTAATGGTAAAGTCCTGGGGAATGCTGCTGAACAAAGAGACCTTGAAATGCAGCTTCATAGTTCCTTGAAAGCGGAGTCACAGGTAGACAGGATAGCGAAGGTGATGTTTAGTATGCTCGCTTTTATTGGTCAGTGCACTGAGTACAGGAGTTGGGAGGTCATGTTGCAACTGTACAGGACATTGGTTAGGCCACTTCTGGAATACCGTGTCCAATTCTGGTCTCCCTGCTATAAAGAGGATATTGCGAAACTTGAAAAGGTTCAGAGAAGATAGGGAGATGGCTATAGGGAAAGGCTGCATAGGCTGAGGTTATTTTCCTTAGAGTGTATTGGAGGCTGAGGGGTGACCTTAAAGAAGTTTATAAAATCACGAGCGGCATAGATAGGGTGAATAGCCAAGGTCTTTTCCCCAGGGTAGCAGAGTCCAAAACTAGAGGGCATAGGTTTACTGTGAGAAGGGAAGATTTAAAAGGGACCTAAGGGGCAACTTTTTAAAGAGAGGATGGTGCTTGTATGGAACATACTGCCAAAGGAAGTAGTGCAGGCTGGTACAATTACAATACTTAAAAGGCATCTGGATGGGTATATGAACGGCCTGTGGTATTATCACTGGACTGTTAATCCAGAGACCCAGATAATGTTCTGGGGACCCAGCTTCAAATTTCGCCATGGCAGATGGTGGAATTTGAATTCAATAAATATCTGGAATAACAGTCTAAAACGACCGTGAATCCATTATTGATTGTTGGAAAAACCCATCCAGTTCACTAACGTCCTTTAGGGAAGGAAGCTGCCATCCTTACCTAGTCTGGCCTATATGTGACTCCGAACCCACAGCAATGTGGTTGACTCTTAACTGCCCTCTGGGCAATTAGGGATGGGCAATACATGCTGTCTAACCAGCGACGCCCTCATCCCGTGAATGAATTTTTAAAAAAGAAGTATCTTGAGAAGTGTGATACAGATTTTGTGTCTCATTTTAATAAGGGCTACAAAGGGTACATGGGAAATAGAACTGAGGCAGAAAATAACCTACAGGTATGCTGCATGGCAGAGTGGTCTTGAAGGGCCCTATGATTTTTGTATTATTCATTCATATTTATATTATTGTACAAGTTTATTTACTCAAGCTAAGCTGAATTTCAGCACATTGACCAAGTATGAAGACCTTACCTCTTGAAGACTGCAGGTCTACAGAAAATGGGACTGAACAAAGATTAATGGCTTTCCTTCCATTTGTCAAGCCATCCCAGTGAATAAGGTGAAGTATCCCATCATTAGTAGCAATGACCAAATCATCCTGCATGGACTGCAAACTAGGCGAAGAGGGAAAATTGAATTAGTTTAGGAACTTTGATTCACTACCATAAAATTAAGAGTGGAACTCACAGGTTTAAATCACCAGAAGCATACGTAGTCGAATTTTAAGTTACTCTACTCAACAATCGACTACAATAGTAGATTTTAATCATGGTCAAATGGAATGATATACAATGGCATTCTTCCTGGCGGTAAAATATTACATGACAGATTTAAGCACAACATTGCTAAACAAATGTTAAACTATTGAGAAACACAGGTTGGTTAGAAAGGAATCAGAAAATAGGGATTATGGGCACCGTCAGATGAGACATCAAAGCAGATCACTCTTTCCTAGCAGGCAGACATAAATGATTCAATGCCATTTCTTGAAAAGCAGGGAATTTTCCCAGTGGGATATACAACCAGACTACCACTCAACCAATGGCACTAAAAACAGATGATTTGATCATCCATAACGTGGAAGGCTTTGAGAGTAGCACATTAGAAGATGTAGTCATTCCACAGATTAAGTGTATTCGGAGAGAGGGAATAAGTGATCACCAAGCTGTCGAGGAAGAAAAGGCAGTTGTGCCAGAGTTCTATGACAGCATCTCACTCTCCAACCTGTACTGAAATTTGAATACTGATGAGAGTGAGGGTTCACCTAGGAACGTAACCAAAGCGAAGTCCATGGCACCACATTTGGTTCAAACGTACAGGGAAGGGCATGGAAAGATTAAGGAATGGAAAACAAGCAAAAGCTTCTGCAGTTGCAGATGTGAATACAGGATACTATGTTACCTCAATGATGACAAAGTCAAAGATGACACTCTGAAGAGGGAGGGTGGGTGAATAGCCAGTCATGGTCCACATTGATATGAATGATTTCGGCAGAAAGAGTGGTGTCATCCTGAAGTCCAAATTTAGGAAGCTGCATAGCAAGGAGTGAGTGAGTATCTCCAAGTGATCATTTCTGGACTTCGCTCAGTACACATAAATGGCTATAGAAATAGAAGGGTTAAGCAGATGAAAGCAGTGCTGGAAAGATTATACGGGAGGCAGGGTTTTAAATTCCTGGGACCAGTGCTTGTGGCAGATGGGTGCTATAAAGGTTGAACTGGTTGCACCTAAACAGAACCAGGGCAAGTTTCCTTAAGTGTACGATTTGTTAGTATTATTGGGGAAAGTTTAACTTGGTTGGAGCATGGGAGTCAGGGGGTACCAAAGTGGAATAACAAGGTCTACAGAATACTGGAAAAGGCAAGTAGCACGAGTATGAAACAGTATATTATTAGATGAGATCAGACTAAGGTAGAAAGTGACAAAATCTAACTTAGAGTTACTGCACATGTATGTGGATGCACAGAATATGGCAAAAAAGATTGCTGAATCAAACGCACAGATTGCCCGATTGTGGAAATACGTTGCTGTTTAACAGAGGCCGGACTCAAAGAAGGCAAGGCCGAGTATTAAATATTCTTCAATTCAAGGCATTCAAGAACAATAGGAAAAGGAAGGAAAGGGAGAGGAGGTAGACTATTGACTAAGAACAGTGCTGTAGAAAGATTTTCTAAAGCAGTGTAGGACAGAACCCATTCAGCTGGAGGTGAGGAAAAGGTACAATCTTGCTCGTTCAGTTGTAGTCTACAGAACACCAACTGGTGGGAAAGAGGTAGAGGAACAAAACTGCAAGGAATTCAAAGAAATTCGGGAATTAGAGAAGAATTCAGGAGTTCTGAAGAACGGTCACTGAACTAGAAATGTTAACTGTTTTCTCTCCACAGATGCTGCGAAACCTGAATTTCTCCAGCAATGTCGGTTTTTGAAAGTACATAATTATATTGGAAGACACCAATTATCTGAATACAGACTTCAATAGTATAAAAGGGTACAGAGGGGCAAGAGTTCCTGGAGCGTATTCAGGAATGTTTTCTTCAGCATTCTGTCACTAGTCTAACAAGGATTGGGGGGGGTTCTGCTTGTCCTGGTTCTTGAGACTCAGCTAATGGATCAAGCATCAAACGAGGAAACATTCATGGGACAGTAATAGTTCCAATAAGGTTTACATTGGCTATGGAAAGACAAGGAAGAATCCAGAT